AAAGTTGTTTGTTGTGGTCAACCTTGTAACAATTTACACACGCGTCTAGTATACAATGTATTCTGTTGGCACCTCGCTTTATTTATGTACATACATATGTACGTACTTAGTTACATTCGTGTGTACTTTTTATTTTCGGCTTTAGTTTTGTGCAAATTTTCTCAATGAATAATTGTTTTATAAATACAGCATACAATTGCTTGTGGTGTTTACGAAACATTCGATTCGATATTGAATGATATTGAAATTTTCGAATTTTATTCAGGAGCTTTTGAGATGAAAATACATACCTAGAGGGAAAGTAGTACTAGGGTTTAGTTTTGATAAAATGGGGTTCAGTTGAGGTATTTCCACAGCAACGTTTTTTTTTCATTAACTTAACCAGACAACAACAACAAGCGACGTACTGAGAAAATTTTTAGATGAAACAAAACCGCTGTAAAAATTCGGCGTCAAACACTGTGACAGGACACTAATGCTCATTTGTTCCCATATAAAAAAATGTTCGTTCAGCAAATAAAATTTCAAAAATCAACGCGAATTCTTAGCTGCTTGAAATTTGCCAATAGTGAATAGGCTATAAAACTGCAAACCAAATTTTTTTTTCTAGAACTTCCGATTCAAAAGTTTGAAATTTTCATGATTTTTTTTTTTTTTGAAATTTGGCAATTTTTTTATAAATCTTGTACAAGGTCTGAAACTTTGAGTTGCATGGTTTTCCTAGTAGTACAAACTATATTTTTATGAAAAAAAAAAATTAAAAATAAATGATCAAAGGTAGTGTCTCTAATTATGTCGCCACCACTGTATATACTTGTATGATAAGTTTATTGCTATGCATACCCTTTTTCTACCTCCGGTCTGGAATCCACGTGAAGTAAAGTTGAGCTATGTATTTCCTGTAGAGATCGGCTTTCTAACGATTCGGTACCCAGATTCTTTACGCCCCACAGTGTTCTATTTTTGAAAAAAATTTGACAAAATCAAATATCTCTAGAACGAGAAGAGACAGTGAAAGAAATTTAACGGCATTTAAAAGCTTTTTTAAATGGAGAATTCAGGAAAAGGAGTCTCATTGGATAGAACAATGACCATTTAAATGAACTTAAAATATAGGTTTGGAATTTTTGCTTTATTGTATTAAAATCAGTCTGCAATGTGCTTTTTAAAAAGTTTTAAATACATATTTAGTGTTCTTGTGTCAAGGGATCCATTTACTTGGTTCCAAAAACTGTGCTGCTTTTCCTTCAAAAGTAAAATTTTTGTTTTTTTTTGCCATGTTACCTAAAACAGCTTTTGTAATGAATTAAAAAAATTTTTAAATGCGTTTTTGGTTCTTGCAACCACGGAAATGGATATACTAGTTTTAGCACAAAAATGAAAAAAATTAAGGCCCCGATATTTGAAGGCCATTTTGAAGATCAACGTAATTCTTTTATCATTGGATCTCAAAAGCTTTAAAATACCGTTACACTTATTTCGCTATTGCTTCTCGTTCTTGAGATATTTTGTTCCTTTTGTTCTAAAATAGAACACTGTGCGCCCTTCGTAATACATAGGTGAAGCCTTAGCCTGAGAAAAGCTTATTAGTATTTTAAGCTGGAGTGCCGTATTTTTTTTGGACTATTTATTCTTTGAAATTCTTATAATCACGTTTCTTTCAGACCAAAAGAACTTACCACTACGTTCTGTAATTCCCAGGATAAAGCTAAACATTTTACTAGGGTTCTCTAATTCGACTAAGACTGAGGGTCCACTGATCACAAAATGTCTCTGTTAAGCAAAGCTCGACATATCTAATCATCTTAATTTTTTCACGTCTGGTAGGTTCTTGAGATCTCTCATTGCAGGCATGTCACTAAGTTAATCTTTACCAGATACGTGTCTCTACTCTATGATCGCTTAATTTACAGCTAACTTCACATATTCGAAAGAGTTTTGTTATTGTTTTGCCAGTTTGTCAGTTACTCATGTAAATATTTCTCCTCTGTCATTTTTGTAAAAGCAGATGTTAGTTTCTTTCGCTGTTGGAAAATGGTTTGTGTTGTCTTTTTGGGCCGGTTTTTTTCTCTTTGTTATTTTTATTTTTTCGCCGGTCGCTTACCAACTTATAAAATTTATTGTGCGTACATAAAACTTTGCTACTTTCAGAGTTTTGATATACACAAAGATGGAGCGCAATCCTAGAGAGAGAATACGCCATCCGCCTGGCCTACGCGGCCGTGCGATTGGCCTCTTTTACCGTAATCTATCGAAGAGGAAGCGTCCTAAGCCGGAAACGCAAGCTATTCGACTGGGACCGTGCGTGAGTGTGCCACAAACTGTGCTGGCGAAGGTGGAAGAAAGCTTACGGAAATTTGAGCAAAGTTGCGAAGATGAGCAAGTTTTGAAAGATTTTGAAGCACAATTTCGACATTTACTGTGCGCCGATTTTGAGGAATTCATTTTGAGTACAAAATCGTCCAACTATGAACTGATGAACAATGAATTACAGAATCAACGCTACAAATCGGAGCTTTTGGCCAAGGAACGTGATCCAGACTTTCAGCAACGATATGAGCAGCGCCTCAAATTGCCCGCCATGAAGCAAAATGAACGCATATTGGAAGCGATCAAGGCAAATCAAGTATTGCTGATCGTTGGCAGCACGGGTTGTGGTAAGACTACGCAGGTGCCACAACTAATTTTGGATGATTACATCTTCAATAATCGTGGCTCACAGTGTCATGTGGTGTGCACGCAGCCGCGTCGTATTTCGGCGGTTACGGTTGCTGAGCGCGTGGCCTACGAAAGGTTGGAGAAATTGGGCGTATCGGTGGGCTATCAAATACGCTTGGAAAGCGAAATGCCGCGTGATAGTGGCTCCATTTTGTATTGCACCACGGGGGTGCTTTTGCAAAAGTTGCAGTCCGATCCGCTGATGAGCGCAGTGAGCGCGGTAATTATCGACGAGATACACGAACGTGGCGTGGAGACCGACTTGTTGTTGGCGTTGTTCAAGTTTATATTGCCACATCGACCCGAATTGAAGGTTATACTCATGAGTGCTACTGTTTCAGAGCACGAATTCAGCGCTTACTTCAATAATTGCTGTACGATAAACATTGAAGGCACCATGTTTCCGGTTAAGGTGAATTACCTTGAAGATATTATACAAGAAACTGGTTACACACGTTTTCGCAACAATCCACACGAGTTCGCGAGGAATAAGCCACGACATCAAGCCAATCAACTTGACCGCCAGAGCGCTGCAAATTTCGATTACAACGCAATGATTGAACCATATCTGCGACATATCAGAAACCAATACGATGCACAGGTGTTACAGGCATTGCGTTGTACCGACTCGGAGGGTTGCGAGAATCTACAATTTCTAGAGCATTTAATTTTCTACATTTGTGATACAAAACCACCTGGCGCGATTTTGGTTTTCTTGCCAGGCTACGATAAGATCTCCAAATTGAATACCATACTGCAAAATCCCACATCACCGGTTGGTCAGCGTTATTCGCGTAAGATACAAGTGTATCCGTTGCATTCGATGATGCCAACCATGTTCCAAAAGAATGTGTTCCAACCGCCACCGCCCGGCATGCGCAAGGTTATACTCTCCACCACAGTGGCTGAGACTTCCGTCACAATTGACGATGTTGTCTATGTGATTAACAGCGGACGCATGAAGACGAATAATTATAATGTGGAAGCCAATTTGCAGATGCTCGAAGAGACTTGGGTGACAAAAGCCAATACACAGCAACGCAAAGGTCGTGCTGGTCGCGTGCAACCAGGCATTTGCTATAATCTCTTTAGTCGCGCGCGTGAGCGAACAATGATCGATCAAATAGTGCCCGAAATATTGCGCTGCAAATTGGAATCCACAATATTAAATTTGAAAATGTTGCATGTAAAAGATGTACATCACTTTTTGAGTACGCTGATATCGCCGCCCGACAAGCAGGCTATTGTAAATGGCATTAATTTGCTGAAACGCATCAATGCGCTGGACGTCGAAGGCACGTTAACACCACTGGGCATGCATTTGGCACGTTTGCCCGTCGATCCACAAATTGGCAAAATGCTTGTAATGTCGGCACTGTTTCGCTGTCTGGATCCCATCAGTTCGGTAGCTGCGGGACTCTCATTCAAGTCGCCCTTTTATGTACCGCTCGGCAAGGAGAAAGATGTTGATCGCATCAGACGTCATCTCTCGGCCAACCAGCGCAGTGATCATCTGATGATCGACAATGTGGTGCTCAATTATCGTGAAGCACTGGAGGATAATTGTGAACGCGATTTTTGCTATAACAACTTTTTAAGTCTCGGCACCCTGCAACAGTTGGAGCAGATGAAGAAACAATTTGCTAGTTTACTACGCGCATCCAGCTTCACAGATTCTGGTCATTGCAGTGCCAAATCTTCAAATGAAAATTCCAGGAATATTCCTTTATTACGGGCCATTATCGCCGCTGGTCTCTACCCGAATATGGCATTTTTGAGCAAGGTGCGTCGCACTAGAAATCACGTTAATGCCATACATCATCTCACCACACCAGAAGAGCGTCGCGTCAATTTCCACCCCTGCTCGGTGAATAGCAATGAGGCCTCATTTGATTCGCACTATTTCGTCTACTTCCAAAAGCAGAAATCGAGTAGTCTTTATCTGCTGGATGCTACCATGGTCTTTCCCATGGCCTTAATCATATTTGGTGATGGTGTCGAGACGGGCTATACCGAAAATAAAATATTTTACATTTCAGTAGGACGCACTTACTTCTTCAAGTGTGACCCCGGAACAGCGAAAGTGATACTGGAGCTGCGCAAACGTTTGGAATGGCTGATGCAGAAGCGCGCGCTAAATCCATCCCCAATCCTGCCTAATAGTAGTGAGGATTACATCGTTAAAGCAATTCAAATTCTTTTATCGTTGGATGATGTGTACGATTATAGCGATCAATATATGTCATCCGATGAAGAGCAAAACTGAAATACTTTTGAATAGTTTGAGTTGCTTTTTAGATGGTTTGGTTGTATTTATGAATTCTACATACAAAAAAAATTGAAGTATGAATACAATTTTTTAGTAAATGAATTACTATTTGCAAGGGCATTTCTAAATCTATAAAAATAAGTAAACATTTGTATTTGCATGCATTTCATGAATCATAAATAAAAATATAAAACGTCCATTTTGGTATTTTGATTTTGACACTGCAACTTTAATCCAAAAAGGAGTATAATAGACTAAAACATAAATGCATAGAGAGTGGAATTTATGATGGGATAAATTTATGTACATTAGACCGTACCAGAAAAAGAAGTTTGCCGTACATCCCTGAGTCCCTATAAAGTATTTTTGCAAGGCAATTTGGAAAAATTATTTAACGTACCACCCTAATGTCAACTGTCTTTGAACTCACCACTATCTGTCGAAATACAAGAAAACTAGCCACTATCTTGAAAGCTATTTTCTGTCTTTCGAAAGGCTAATTGAATGGTCTGCTAACAAAGAGGTCTTTGCGTTGTTCTGTTTGTCTTTTAGCAATAAGTTTTCAAAAAATTAAATTAATAAACAAGCAATTTTTAAGCAAAAAACAAAACCGACTTTAATTCTCATATAAAAATTTAAGATTACCGTTAATTTCTTTAAAAAATATTTTTCATCTAATAACTGTTATGAAACAACGTTTTCGTTAAATTTCAGAATTTGGGCAACGTTTTCAATTTTAAAGTTCGAAATAACAGTTATTTTTGGTCCCTGAGATAAATTCGTTGTATACTTGAAATATTAGCTTTCCCAATTAAGTGTTTTATGTTTAAAATGGAAATGTTTACTCTAAATATTTACGCCTGTTTTTACTTGAGCGCAAATATTTTTGTACTAATTATTTTATCTGTCTATAACTTTAATTTTTATTTATTTTTTATTAATAACGTAAGTTTTTATTTTGCATGTTCAATTATAACAAATATATACTCTCTCACATTGCCAATATAATGTATTGGAATATACTAGAGCTGTCAAACTATCGATGACGCTATCGATAGTATCGATGGTTTTGGGTTTCGGTCTACTATCGATGGTTTTTAACACTATCGATACTATCGAAAAATTACCACTCTTAGTTTTGAGCCATTCTCCAAGCGGTGCCTAATAAATTTATTATACGGGTAAGTATTTTGAGAATAAAATAATACATTTTCTAAAGTTTTGCGTGAAAATATGTCAATTTATAGTATTAGTTCATTTTGGAAAACAGCCCTAAATCTTGGCAAAAGCGAATGGCTATTGATATTTTTAAAATATGCAATTTAATGTTTAAAAGTTATAACTATTGAACTGATCCCTTCATAAAAGAAATTCAGCTTTAAATTTTTCAAATATTTTTCGTGTTTGAATCATTGGTTATTTTATGTTATATAACAAAACTGGATTTCTCATGATATGTTTACATACATAATTACACATAAGTTTAAAACTAAGTTTCTTGGTAAAATAATAAAAATTTGTTTTTAGCTTTTGAAAATAATATTCGGCCTTTATATGGTTTTCGACGCCGATGTCATTTTTTCAACAAAAAATAGCCCTCGTAGGTCTAACACCAGCTACGCTGACCACAGTATTTTTGAGGAAAGGAGTTCTTCCTGTGGTAAGCGTAGCTAGAGTTGAACTTACGAGGGATATATTTTGATAAAAAAATTACATCGACATCGACCTCGACAACCATAGTAGCGCCGATTATGTTCTTTGTTTATTTTTTTGGACATTGATTACTGGACACTTATATAAATAAAAGAAAATATGCTTAATATATAAAAAAAAAAAAAATTCGATAGTAGCGATAGTATCGATAGTGCGGCCAAACTATCGCAAACTATCGATTGGCCCCACTATCGATAGTTTGACAGCTCTAGAATATACATAAATAAATGTTTTCGCATAAACGGATCGTTAATACTTTGTACATGCTTTTAGACACAACTTTTGAAACAGCCGTAAGTACATAAGTTTATAATGTATGCAGATTGACAAGGGAGCTTTTGATGAAAAAAAATTACTTAACCCAAAAATCTCTAATCATGTCTGCCCTCTTTGTTTATAAGCCGGAAATATGAACGAGAGGTAGTCATTAATATGCTTAGAATAGGTATATCTATGTAATGCCGAATTTCTACAAGGCATTGAAATGACCAAAAACTTACATCGAAAAAAGGCCGTTTAAAAAACGCCATGTGGAAACGGACACGACCACTATCTTTATGAATGCAGTGGCACAGGTATTTCTTAATGCTCAACATTTTCATTCATAATTGAGTCATTTAATGCCTATTGGAAATGCAGCATAAGTGAAAGGATGAACTAACTATATCGAAGCTAAGATTAATTTCGAAGTTATGACATCAATTTCTGATGCCTTCAGTGGTTGACCCTATAGAAGTATTTATTTCTTGTAAATTAAACCTAATTGTAATCACCTTCAGGAAAATATGACGACGCCGCATCGCCGTATACTAAGTGGTTGCTGGACGTGAGCGGGGCCTTAAATTCACACTCGTTATTGCTATGTTCCAGTAAACAGAACCTACTGCATAAACCAGCAAAAGAAAGTTGTACATGCATATTCTTTTAAAGGGTCTTCCAACATTGAATTTTGAATAGACTCACTTAAATTTCGGATTTCCATTGGGCACTAAATTGCATACTACTTAGACCAGTATGCTAGTTTTTAGAGCGACCTTGTTACAAAGATCAATCAGTGAATGTTGGGAGGTGCCTGCCTGAATACAAAGCTTTACCGCCAAAGTCTTCGAGTGCTTAAAGAATACTGACGACAGCTTGGTGGCGATATCATTCCACATAGGCTTCTGGTTAGATGTTGCTGAAGGCGATCTCAATTTCTAAATAGGGAGCCAAAGTATAATCTTCATAGTTCAGTGATTTCCCAACTTCGAATGTAGTGCTGTGGCGACTTCTCCTTTCTAGTTATACTTATACACTGTGAAAAGTTATTCACCTAATTTGGAACACCCTCTATATTATGCATGTGCGTGTAAAATCGCGCATAAATATGTATGAATATGTAATTTATTTAATTTCTTTTGCAACGGTTGTTAGTTTGTGGTATTTACGAGCCGGTTCGTCAGCGAGTTATTTATATTACATAGTAGGTATGTAGGTATAAGCATGTATGTAACTTCATGCTAGCCGACACCGGTTTTGGAAAGCTTCAAGGCATTTTATGAATGAATTTACGCGCTGAATTGGCTACTTGTAGCGGAAAGCTGTAATTAATTTCATTAATATTTTTTTTTTAATATTACATGGATTTTCACTTGAACAGGAATGTACATATCGCTAAGTTATTAAAAGACTGTTATAACTCAATAAACATCATTTTTGGAAAAATTATGCAAAGTTAATTGTTATCGTATACTTTTGAGTTGTCTTTTAGTAAATGGGCGATATGTATGAAGATAGTGAGAAAGAGCAACACATTGATTGCAATTCAGAGTTGTTAGAATTTTAATGAATAGATATTTAGGTTTTTGGAATGTAGGGGGCCGTAACTGATAATTTACATTGCTTTTGAGATAAAATCATGAGCTTTTAATTACTTAACAATTAAAAAATTGGGTGTTCCTACATTTCCTCAACGATACATTATGTAAAATTTTGTAAAGTAAATTTCATAGAAGTACTACCCCGAATAAAACTATCCACTACAAAACTAATGATAGGTTTTGAACCAGTTGTCAGATTTTCAAAAACTAAATGATATTAGTTTAAAAATTAACAATTTCGCCTAAATTGTAAAGGGACAAGACAAGCATTCCTTCACATAGATAACTGAAGAACACAGATGGGCACTGCCTTGCCCGCGGGTAAAGCTATTTTAAGCTTTCTAAACATTTTGTATAGAGGCGAGCAGAGTAAAAGCTCTCTCTGCCCAACGTTGCTGAAGAGGTATGCATCACAACACATATTTAAAGGAGTGTATGTGCTCTCTCTGCATTCTGTGCATTCTAGGAGCAGGTGTCTCCTTAGTTGAATCGCAGAAATGACACAGTTCATTCGACCGAATTGCCAACTTATACAGATGTCCTCTTAGCCTTCTGTGCCCTGAGAGGATGTGTGTAATGATTCGAAACTTTTCCTTGTAAAGATTAATTAAAAATACATATCTATTTAGATTGTACCTCTCCCAGAGAGTTTTTTAGGCTTGACCAGTGCTGTTTTCTCCTACTTATTGTTCCTTTCCTAAACTCTTCTCTAATTGTGTTGGGCCTACTGCAAGGCTCAGGACCTATTGAAGCTGGGGCCGCCGCTATTCTAGATAAGCCTTCCGCTATCTCATTCCCCCGTATATCCTTGTGGCCTGGTAGCGGAACGTTATTGTATTGAACAAGGACTAAGGATGATTTAACCTCGAAGGCTGAAAGTGCTTTAAGTTTCACCTGAATGTCGCTGAGGATTAGAATTTTCTCATTACGGTAACCTTTACGTAAATTAATCTGTGTACGCCGATTAATGGCGTAGATTTCCGCTTGGAAAATGATCGAGGCTGCGTCATCCTGAGACGGTAAATGCCTGCCACAATGCCTTCTGGTATTGTGGAGCCGTTGGTGCACCAATTCATGGCATTGGCCTGTACATGCCCCTCCATAATGAAGTTTCTCCAGGTCGCCTTGATGCAGAGCTCTATTTTGAATAAGTTTTTTTTTTTTTTTAAATTACCTTGTTATTTATTTACTAAGGAAAAACGCGGGAGCTGGGATCCTAGTTTCTACATATTCCTAGACGATAGGATTTTACACTTGCCATAACCAACGCCAGCGAAGTTTAAAAGGGTACGCTTGGCTGCCTGTTCTATGGTGAAATGCAGTGATTCGGACTGAAGAACTACCGCTAGTGCTGTTGTCGCGCATGTGCTCATTTTTCTCGTAATGCAAACACAGGCCATATAAATATGAATTTCTTATGGACCGTTTGCATATAAAAAAAAAATCAAGACCAATTTTTATAAATTGCACTTACTGTGGGTTTGAATCAAAATCGGGCAGTAAATTTTTTCCATATTTTGTTTTCTTTTAATTTTATAAGTTTTGTATAAAAATGTAGTTCATACTACAACAAAATCCATAAAACTCGAAGTTTCTAACTTTGTAATATTAAAAAATTTAAATCTCCATCGAAATTTC